TTTGGGGTAAATAAAACACATTTTTTTAAATCAAACTTCTTATTCATAACCCATGATATTTAGACTCAAAATTCCCACAACTAAAAATTTACAGTTGGGCTATTTCTAATCATTTTACCATGTTACGATAGTTCTTTTTGTTATATGTTTTTTATTTTATAATTTTATTAATTTTCACTTTACTTTTAATTATTTTAATTATTTTTTCTATAATTTTTTAATATTGTTTCAAAATAATTATAGATACACTTATGGCATTATTTCGTGATGTAAGTCAAAGTCATTTATGTGGGAATGGTCAATTTATAATATTGTAATTTATACGTATTATTAATCGTTGATTTCACTTACCTATAATTTTTTTTAATCATATGAGCTATCAAATGCGAATAGAACCAACGACTAATATAAAATGTTACACTAAATGTTCATACACCGATGTAAATTTATACTTTTCCATGTATATATTATTTAGGTCTAAACTCATTTATATTGTTTTTTTTTTCAAGTAATTACAAACAGAAATGGAAGGCTTCCAATTTCATGCTTTGACTTTGACCATCTTAGAAAATTGTACTAGCCAAAATAAACTTAAATGAAAACAGTAAAAACCTTTCTCTTGAAAATGTAGGAAAAGAAAGAAGGAAGGCAATATAAACAATGCCAATGAATGCTGATGCCTTGTAAATCCTTACCAATATATCAATTTATAATTTCATACATATATAATTTCTTTAGTATTAATGATATTGTTAATTTAATTATTAATTATCATTTCAGTAAAATCAAATTAAAAATATGTTATTAAATACTTTTTATGTGATTTTTGTCAAAACAATAATTAATAATTAACAATATTATTAATAATAAAGAGAATATATATATATATATATATATATATATATATATATATATAGGGGTAAGATCATTTGACACCGGTATCAAACTTTAAAATTTGACACCAAATCTTAACCGTTGATTTTCGCAAATCACCGGTTATGATTTCCGTCAATCAAACTTATTAGTTAATTATTAATTTCTAATAAATTATAACCGTATAATTAATAATTCTCAATGTTATTAATTATTAATTCCCAATCTCCTTTTTTTAACTTGAGAAACGATAAACCTTATATATATATATATATATATATATATATATATATATATATGTGTAAAATTATTTCTGCAGTCGCTTTACGTACATCAACAAGAGATGTATGATTATGATTCTCTATATTTAATGCTTTCATCCTTTGTATGGTTATAATTTCTCGTATATAATGTTTTCAAGTATATATATGGCAAGTATTTGATTCCTGCACGTACAACAGCTGTAGAAATATAAACCCCATATATATATGAGGCAGGATCCTTTCACACCGGTGTCAAATTTAAAATTTGAAATTTGACACCTCATCTGAGAGCCGTTAGATCAAAAAAAATCAACGACTCTGATTTGTAAGCATGTGACACCGTTGATCTTTTTTTATCTAACTGCTCTCAGATGAGATGTCAAATTTTAAATTTGACACGAGTATCAAAAGATACTACTCTATATGTATATATTGACGTATTAGTATTTGGTAAGGATTTACAAGGTACGAGCATTCATTGCCAATTTGCCATTGCTTAAATTGCTTTGGTTCTTTCTTTTCCTACATATTAAGAAAAACGTTTCTATTGGTTTAATTTAAATTAGTTTCGGCTGGCACATATTCCTAAGATGGTCAAAGTCAAAAAGAATGAAATAAGAGCCTTCCATTTCTGTTTTGGTAATTCCTTGCAAGAAACAAAATAACATTAAAAGAGAGATGAGACCCGAGATAAGATAATGTGACTCGTGACTCGTGACTCTGTAGATAAGAAATAAACACTCACATTTCATAATTCACTAATAAGTAATAACCTTATAATAAGAGAAAAAATAAAATTAGTTGAGAGAGTTAAGAACTGATTGAGATCTAATCTGAGAGTTAAGATCCGAAATTGGATGCTAATAGATTTGATGAAATGCAACTAAATCCCGAAAAGCAGAATTGCTGTTTTGATTTAACAGTAACGTGTGGTTGTGTGTGGATTGGGATTTTTCACATGTCATCTCTTCCGAAACAAGTGTTTATATTATGTTATATAACCTTTGACGTGTAGAAACTACTACTAACACTTCTCTCTCTCGCTCTCTCTCAAGTTTAGATTTTCTTATTTGGCCCTAAACTCTATCATTTTAAGAATAGATCAAGGGGAGTATTAGTCTAATCTCATGTTATAGACATAAATGATGTGAGATCTATTTTTTTAAAATAAATAAACAAATGTGTGAGCACACATACTTTGAGTCTATCTGGTCTTCTAGAATATGAAATTAATATTTTTTATATATTAAACATTCATTTATTGTCTGAATTTATCTTTTATTATTATTATTATTATATTATTTTTCTTTTACACACAAGCACAAGCATAAGTGCACTTTCTGGTTGGTATACTTATATATGTATTACATATGAATGTGTGGCATTGCAATAGGTTCCATTTTTTCAATTGTGTGTTGTGTTGGGGGAAACAAAGATTGAATTGCAGAAGAAGCTTCAAATCCTCACCTTCATTGGTTTCAGCTCCACTCTCTTGGAGCTGAACCGAACCCCACCATTTGGATTGAGATTACAACATCCATTTTCATTTCCATTTGCAATTCTGATTCCTTCTTATCTTCCTCTTTCTCTCTCCCTCTCTCTCTCTCAATTGAGTCTCACTCTAGCCACCACCGCACGCAACATCATCCAATTCAGCCTTGTCGTGTCTGAATAGCCACCAGACAAAAAAATGGAAGAAGACAACAACAAAAGCTACAATGGTTGTGATGAAATGTTTGTCTCTGATTCAAAAGGAGGAGACTTTCCAGCAAAAAGAAGCATAGCTGAGAGAAGGGGTTTCAATTCCAATGCAGCAAGGATCAACACAGCGCGTTTTCGCACTGTAACTGCAACTGGAAATGCAACAACCCCTTTACCTTCTCCATCACCGCGTCTTACCATACCTCCTGGCATTAGCCCCACTGCATTGCTTGACTCTCCCATCATGCTTCCTAATTCTCAGGTATTGTTATCATCCACCCATTTCATTCTTCTTTTTCAATTTCAGATAAAAATTTGATTTTTATTTAAAAAAAAAAAAATTAATTTTTTTTTTCCCATGTGTTTTAGGCCATGCCATCTCCCACCACTGGGAGTTTCCTCATGCTCCCTCCTCTCACTCATGAAGGATCAATGCTCACTGATGCTCAAGAGAACATGGATGTGCCCTCTGCCACTGATGCTCCTGCCTCCTTCAAATTCAAGCCTCCTTTACCTGCCTACTCTGCTCCTCTGGACCAGGTACCCTTGGCTATCATCATCATCATTATCATCATTATTATTATTATTATTAGAGAAAGGTTATATTTACGACAGCTTTTGCCTTGTAACCTCTTGCAATTATTTTTGTTATTATTGGATTAAAATCAAATCAATAGTTTTAAATTTCCAAAAAAAAAATCAATAGTTTTATGTAACGGAAAAATAACAAAAATAATTGTAAGAGGTTATAAGGCAAAAGGAACGCAAAAGAGGATGTAAGTATAATCACTCCCTTGTTATTATTATTAACCAAAACAAATATGCAATGGGGGTTTGGTTGTGTTTCTTTCATGGGACTGTCAATAGTTTTTACCATAGTAGTTAATTGCGCCGCAATAGCGCCGCGAGCCGCGCCGTATGGGCGTAGCGGTGCCTTGCTGCAAGAAATCGCGTCGTGCCGCACCGGAACGCAATAGCGGCCATTGCTATCGCATTTGCAGCCAAATGGCAGCCATATTGCTGCCATAAGGCAAAATGTTAATTTTGTCCTAAATTTAAATGTGTAACAGAAAAATTTAAGGCTTTTTCACCCTTTTGCCCCTCATTAATTAATTAATAATCATTTTGCCCCTAATTCGAAACTATCTACCAATCTGCCCCTCTTTAATCGACTACCTTGCATTTTTAATCGATTAAATGGTCAAAACAGGCAAAAATGGCTGTTGGGAGATTTAATCGACTAAATCTCCCTATTTAATCGATTAAATCTCCCAACAGGCAACAAAGGGAAACAAGTCAGTATGATTTTTTAATCGATTAAGTAGGAAGATTTAGTCGATTAAATCTCCCAACAACCATTTAATCGATTAAAAATGCAAGTTAATCAATTAAAGAGGGGCAGATTGGTGGATAGTTTTGAATCAGGGGCAAAATGGTTATTAATTAATTAATGAGGGGCAAAATGGTCAAATAGCCAAAATTTAATGGTTTTTTAGTCTATATGTGTCTTTCTCTATCACTTCTGCTATCTCTGTCTTTAAAAAATGTTTCTTTTTGTCATTAGTTCTGTCATATATCTATTTCGCTATTTCCGCAACTGCAACCCGCTATAGCATTTTTTGAGGTTGGGCGCAATATGCCGCAATCCGCATTTGATAACTTTGGTTTTTACTTAATTGTTGATGCTTGCTGCTAATACATTACTTCTATTCCTCCCCTTTTCGATAGTTGATTTGAAGAATGAAAACCACTCTTTTCTCGGTTGGATATGGTTGATGTGGAGAATAGAGAGCAGAAGTTTGTCTCATTTAAGCATCATAGCTTACAATCAACTTGAATCATTTAAACACGATGGTCATAACAAATATCTAATTGGGCATTCTGTCTTAACCTCTATTTTTTTAACTCAGCCTTTGAGCTATCTTTTTCTCAGATAGTACCTGATATGTGAAATGATTTGTAACTGAGTTATATTTTTCTAACAATACATGTATAATTTGGTAACCTTGAATTGAATAGGTTTCTAGTAACATGGTAAAAGGAGGAAATAGAGACGGCCAACAACTTGTTCCAGTTCAATCACCATTAGATTTTTCACTCCCAGCTGATTTTCCAAAAGGACATTCTGCAAAATATAGCGAAGTCCATGCATACATTGATGTGAAAATGGTAGATGATGTGATTGTTAATGCTAATAATGTTGAGATGCCAATGTCTCATTCTGAGGAAGCTAGCGACGAAAACGCGCTGCCTAAAAATGCTCTCCATGGTGAGGATGTTGAACAGCAACCTGTTTTAGATGGAGAGCAGAAAGAGGCAACCCATGCATCAGGAGCAGTAAGGACCTCTGAGGATGGTTATAATTGGAGGAAATATGGACAGAAACAGGTGAAAGGTAGTGAGTATCCCAGGAGCTACTATAAATGTACTCAGCCTAATTGTCAGGTCAAGAAAAAGGTGGAACGATCCCATGATGGCCAAATAACAGAAATTATTTACAAGGGTGCTCATAACCATTCAAAACCACATCTTAGTCGTCGAGCATCAGCACTTTCTACTGATGAGATGTCAGACATGGTTGAAGCCAGTGAAACCTTTGCTAGAGTTGAAGGTGGGTCAGTTTGGAGAAATATTCAGTCAGGATTTAAAGATGCAAAACACAGTTTGGATTGGAAAGCTGATGGTCAGGAAAGGACACCCCCAACTTCTGTTGTGACTGATCTTTCAGACCCTACATCAACTAAGAAAGCTAAATCTCTATGTATGTTTGAATCGGAGGACACTCCAGAGCTTTCTTCTACACTTGCCAGTCATGATGGTGATGAAGATGGAGCCACTGAAGCACTCATATCACCTGAAGATGATGGTGAAGATGATGAATCAGAGTCGAAAAGAAGGTTTTTATACTCTTTATCTGATTGTGTCTTCATGATGTCAGTAACAAATATAAAGACAACCTTTATGTTTCTGCTTTATTTTTCTGTTGCAGGAAGAAAGAGAGCTACCCAGTTGAATCAAATTTGCCTTCCAGGGCTGTCCGTGAGCCAAGAGTGGTAGTCCAAATTGAGAGTGAAGTGGACATACTTGATGATGGTTATCGCTGGCGTAAGTATGGACAGAAGGTTGTCAAAGGAAATCCAAATCCTAGGTAGTGATCTTGACTTTCTTTATCTGAACTGGTTCATGTTCTAAGTAGCTCAATGATTTATTCTAAGATTATGTTAATTCACTTTCTATATTTTATCAAATTTTCTCATGTATCTCTTCTAGGAGCTACTACAAATGCACAAGTGCTGGATGTTCTGTAAGGAAGCACGTCGAAAGGGCTTCACACAATCTAAAATTTGTGGTCACTACTTATGAGGGAAAACATAATCATGAAGTGCCTACTGCTAGAACCAACAACCAGATAAGCTCAAGTGATGGTGGCTTACCTCCCACTGGTGCTAATGGGCAAGTGGCTCTTACATTACAAGGGAGTGCCAGTATCCCAAAGCATGGAACTCATCAAACTCTTGCACCCCATTTTGATAGAAAACATGAATTCAGCAACGAGTTTCTCAGGCCTAGTTTGGTTGGAAGTTTCAGTAATGATATGAAGTTTGGTCCTTCCTCCATATGCCAAATGAAGTATCCTTCCTTGAATAACACCATGCCTTATGGTTCCTATGGACTGAATCCTGACCGTTGTGCTGCCCCTCAAGCTGGATCTATTGCTATGTTCCCTGATTTTCCAATGCCACTACCATTGAATCTTCCCTCATCTGGAAATTTTTCTCTTGCTGGAATTAACTTTAACTGTGTGAAACCAATGGGTCCTGTCCAGTCTTTCCTTTCAGGGCAGCAGGTGAAGGATATTGATGCAGGGTTCCTGAGGCCTAAACAGGAGCAGAAGGATGACACTATGTATGGCTCATGCATACCCTCTCTTGATCATGCAAATGCTTCACTCACTTCATCCTCAGCAACACCATCCATTTATCAACGTGTCATGCAAAATTTCCCTTCATAATGTCTCATTTTCACAGATGTTAGCTACAGCAGATTCTGATGGCTTTTATTTAGTATTCGAAGGTCTTTTCTTCTATCATTACTATTTCATTTTTCCTAAATGTTTATCAGAACAAACTATGGTGTCCTTATACAAATTGCATACCAATATTTGTAACTAGTTCTTAATAGGTAAATTTCTTTTGTCCTATCATTGTTGTTGTTTCACTTTTCTTTATATATTTATCAAAACAAACTATGGTATTCCTTGCATACCAATATTTGTAACTAGTTATTGGTAGGTAATTTTACTATTCAGAAAATATATAGTTCTGGGTTCTGTGGAATTTTTTTTTCTCTCTATCAAAGGTTTTCTAATCCATTCGGGTTCAATCCTAACGACAACTTATATGTTATCATTGCATGAAAACAACTCTTACCTCATATAGTCTATATCTATCCTAGATAATGTTCTAATCAATAAAATATTTCCTATACACAAAATCACAATAAAGCATAAGATTCAGCATGTTACTTATAACCACAGAAACTAGGATAGAAATCATAATAAAGCATAAGATGATTTTACTTGTAACCACAGAAACTAGGATTATAACGCAAAAGTGAAGTCAGTAAAAGAAATTCCTTTTAATGAATGGATAGTTCAAACGCACATTTTGTAGCTTGATGGTTTTCCCTTCTGGCACCACACTTCAGATTTTCTGAAAAAAAAAAACCCATAAAAAATATCAGTATTCATCCATAAATACTCAAGCAAGCAAAATTAAAAGCCAAAAAAAGTGTTACTTGCAAAATTAGCTTCAATGGTACTTATGTAGCCTATCAATGCGCGTCGTCCTTAAAAAAAAAAAAAAAAGCGCTAATAAGGAACCATGATAACAAAAATTGTGATAATAGAAAAAAAATGTACATAAATCAAAATCAAATCAACGTTTATAAAATAATATCCTGATAATCGTTGATTTGATTTTAATCCAACGATAATGAAAATGGTGATAAGAGATTACAAGCTATGAAGCACCGATACGCGTTTTCGACACGTTTTCGATGATACAGGATGTCAATTATCAAAGGATACGTGTCCGATGCGCGTATCCGGTACGTTGACAAAAAAAATTAAGGAGTATCAGTGCTTCATAGATTACAAGTATAACCTCTCAACAAAAAAAGTCAAACTCACATAAAAAATGAAAAACAAAAAAGATTTTTTCGGCCGAGGAATCTCGATCAGGAGAAACTTGAATAGGTGATTGCTAAAATTGAATAAGGAAAAAGGAACTCAAATGAAAAGGAAAATCAAATAAGTAATTGCTTGAGAAGAGATGATGCTATGATTTAAGAAAGATTTAGGGATTATATTTCTTAGAGGGTCGAAGATGAGATTAAGACGAGTTCGTAAATTGTGAAGAAGTAGTGAATGTTAATTTTATTCGTTTGAACTTTAATACTTGGTATAACTGATTAATCCGAATAAGATTACGAAGAGACAATGTGTCTAGAAATGAAAAGATGATATTGTAATTTAGGAAATATTTGGGAATTAGGGTTCTTAGAGGGCTAGAGGTGAGTTGGAGATAGGATCATAAATTGTGAAAAAGTAGTGGATGTTGATTTTGTTTGTTTAAACTTTAATATTTGATATAACCGGTCAACCGAATTAAATTTAGCAACGGATGTGGATGAAACGTTTTAAAAATAGGAAAATTGTTTTCTTATGTTACATAAGATAACAAAAAATTCCTAAACACATATAAAGAAGAGATGAGAGAGAATATGTGAGAGAGAAAATGTATAAATAGGTCTCATTTTTTTATATGTAAGTATAGCAAAATGTTTTTATCTTATGTAACATAAGAAAACAATTCCCCTTAAAAATAACTAGTTCAATTATTAAATTGCATTTCACGGGGTTGGTTCAAGTGATACACGTTTAAGATAAGTCGTTCTTTATGAAAAAGCTAGCTCCACTATAATAATAGGATTGTCTCATATGAAAGGATACCTGTGGTTTATCTAAAAATAAATAAATTACTTTTCAAGGTTTGATTTTTTGATTTTTAATTTATTTGGTTTAGTTTGATTTGGTTCACATTGTTTTTTCAAAAAGGGTTTATGCACACCCATATCATTGTTGATGTTTAAACTTTTCATATATATTTTGACTGAAAGAAACCATGGTATTCTTTGCATTTCAATATTTGTAACTAGTTCTTCGTAAGTAATTTTATCAATAAGAAAATATATAGTTTTTAGCTATGTGGGAGATTCATGCTTCTTCTCTAGGGTTCAAACATTTACCCTTTTATGAGAATATAATATGCTTACTAGTATGAACTCCCCCCCTTTCCTTCCTTCTCGTTATTCTCAGAACATCCACAAATGGTCTGAACCGGTCCATCCAAAACCAAATCAATTCCGCAAAAAATAAATCGATTTAGTTCAAAAAAATCAAATCATAGTACTGGTTCGACTAGATTTGCTTTGATTTTTCAAACCATGCCCACCACTACATGACACTATTCTTTTTTTTGTTGACTCACTTTTTTACACTTGGTGTCTAGCATTATCTCGGTTTTGATTAGTACTCACTTGGGTGTTTAGTTCGGGTGAAAATTTTTTTTACCAGAAAAAAGGAATTACTAGGGATCAGTAAGGAAATTGAGTTAGATAGAAAAGTTAAAAAAAAATTGTTTAGTTAGACAAATTATTAGCAGGTAAATTGATTAAAGTTATTGAAGTCTATGTTTGATTGAGAATAAAATATTAATGAATAAATAATATAAAATTACAAAACTAACCCCTTAATAATTATAAAATCACTTTATGCAACCTTCAACATTCTTACTCTGTTTTATCAGAAGGATAGTTCAGTCAGATATGGAGTTCTATGTATCTCATTTGCCTAATTATCATACAGTACTATATTGAAAGTGGAAATATTGCTATATGTTTCTCGTTACTTTTTACAAAGAATTGTGAAAGCTGGCCAACTCACTTTGCTGGGGAAGTTTTTAAAAATGTTGGACCAACCGTTGGCTTCATAAAATTCCAATTTGTATAGCTGGGATTATCATAAGAAAACCTGAACCAAACGGCCCCTAAGCGACGACTATCAACTCGAGGGTTTAAAAAAAAATTACTATAATAATAATTTTAAAAAAACTTATTTATCATATTGGGACTGTTTTGCATGCGAACACTATGTGGCATGTCATCCGTAGCATCGAGACCAGTGTTATTTCCTTATTAAGGAATAAATTTTTGGTGCATTAGATGTACTCAACTGGATATATCTTTTTTTCAAAATAAGAAACTTTTTCAATGTGATGGAATTTTTTTTTCAAAAGTGATGATTTTTTTTTTTTAAATGTGAAAAAAAAAGTACTGAATTAGATACATCTTATGCACCAAAGATTTATCCCCTATTAAGAAAGTTAAACCAAGATAAGTGGTAACACACTAGAGAGGCACTAGTCTATATGACACCTTATATGGTAACATGTGAACTAGTGCCCTATTCCCTTTATGATAATTAAATTATAATCAAATGGAGAATTAATGATATAATCTTCGGTATAAACTTCAAGTCTAATTATTGATGGGGCAAATTTCATGTGCTCATCCACATTCATACGGAACTGGAAGATGATGCCGGTGCCACTTTTTGTGGGTGTTCTTGTATGAATACAACTGATTGAAGGCTGTAATATTTGGTTAGACAATGTCACTTTAAGATTTACATAGCATTTTTATTTATTTTTTGTTTATTATACTTAGGTTGATTCACCAATTTGGATTAAAATAACTATCAATGTAACATATTAAAAATAATGTCCCACCAATTGAATGATGACACATTGGTTGGTGTGTACCGGAGAGAAAAAAAAATTTTAATATTATAATTATATACTCCACAAGAGTATATAATTATAATACTACTATCACACCAAAGATAGTGTGTGACCGTCCCACCAAAAATGCTCTCCACATGGCAACACTAATACAAAATCACTAGGTCACCTAACGCCTCACAAGATGCTAGATAACCTAGTGTTTTTCTCTGGTGATGCCATGGGGCAACTACATCCTACACCTTCCCAGTTGACATGTTGCGTCAAGGGAAATATTTGTATGTTTGTTGCTGACTATCTTTTTTTATATTCAATGGAACATAATAATCTAGATAAGGAAGGGAGAAGTCAGAAACGTTAGTGCATTCATGAAGATTGACTGGGAGAAGTTATTAATTCACCTTCTTGTAACTCTCACCCCAATCCTTTTAAATAATTTATGTTCTTGTAACTTAATTTGACCATGAATTGATTCAAAGTCACTATTGATTTGTCATTAATGCATTAAGGTTTCCAACATTGGTTTACAATTTGTTTCCAACGTTACCAAAGGTTATAATAAAGAGTAAATACCTTTTCGATTCTTATCAAATTTTATGATATGCGCTTTAGTCCCTAGCAAATAAAAAGACTATTTGTGGTCCCTAAGAAATTCAAAGTGGATCCATTTTAGTGTTTTTGAGGGACTAATGTGGGTCTTTTTTGAATTTATGAGGGACAACGATTTCAACTAAATTGGTCCATTTTGAATTTCTTAGGGACCACGAATAGCCTTTTTATTCATTAGGGACTAAAATGGACATCGTGAAATTTTCTGAGGACCAAAAAAGATATTTATTCTATAATAAATTAAAGCATTTTTTTAACAATTAAAACATTTTTGCCTTGGAGTTGCTACATGCATTTTGTGTTTTTTTTTTAAAGAACCAATTCAACCCAAAAGTTTAAGTTGTTGGGTGAGATTTTTATATATCTCTAACACACTCCTTCACAAGAGAATACACTGTACTAAGAAATTTCAAAAACACAATGGGGGACGACTAGAATCGAACGCAAGACACGAGACTTTGATATCATGTAAAGAACCAAAACACTTAAGCTATTGAGTGAGACTATATTAATAATTTTATATATATTTCTAACACTTTTGAAGAGATAGGCTTAAGGAACCTAGCGCCTTCTAAAACGCTAGGTGATCTAGCATATCTTCTTTGGTAGAGGAGAAATTTTTGTCCGGGAATCTCGATTTTCAAAAACATGATTTTTACATTCAATTTACGATAATATTCAAAAATTTAAAATTTAAAAAAATTCAGTTTCCCGGAAATCTTGAAAAATGATGCGTACCAAACGCCTCCTTAGTGATGCGCGTGACATCACAATCCAACCCCTTCACAATTGAGGCATTATGCCCAACTCAACATTAATGTGTGTGTTACCAACCTTTTGCTTGGTAGACAATGAAATGGACAACAATTGAATTACATTATAAAAAATATTTTATAAAAATTTATCATCTCTAGAAGGGAAAAATATTCCATGGTCCTTCCCTATTTCTCCCTCTCTCTCTCTCTCTTCTCTCTTCTCTATTTCTCTCTTTTTCCGGCCCATATGTGCCAGGACCACTGAATATTCACTCCTCTGGAAGGAGAAGAGATGTTGAAATTATAAGTGCATTAATAACAATTGAGGGGAAGAAATTATAATTAATTCACCTTCTTGTAACTTTTGACTTATTACTTATAATTGATTCATTTTCTTACAATTATTCCCATTAATTGATTGAAAAATAACTAAAGATTTGTAGGTGCACTAGCATTTTCAATGTTGATTTATAATTTGTGTATTTTTTTCTTTTCTTTTCTTTTTTTGAAAAGAGAGGCGTTAGCCTACCTTGCGCTTTCCAAAACATTAGCGACCTAACATCTCTTCTCTTGTTTGTTGTTGTTGATAAATTATAGGTATTCTGCACAGGAGATAATTTTGTTCGGGACGAATCTATGATTAAAATTTTAAATCCCTCCTAAAAATAGTATTGGAGAAAATCAAACATATGTTCTTACCCTCACCTACTCAGTTCGCATACGCAAATGGGCTACCATCATTTGGTAACATCTCTCTAATGCAACACATGGCATCATCATCCCACCCCTTTTCTAATTGATGCATTGCGTCTAGGTAGCATTTATCCATGTGTTAGTGACCATATTGTTCAACAGATAATGGAACAAACAACAACCATTTCAAATTGTAAACAAAAAATTTTAATTAATGGGAAATTAATCATCAAAAAAATGAGAAGAGAAGCTGAAAATGTTAGTTAATTAAGGACAATTGACCAAGAGAAGTTGTTATCAATTTATCTTCTTGTATCTCTTACTTCATTTCCTGTAATGTAATTACTTTCTTATGACTCTCACAATTAATTGATTCCAAAGTCACAATTAATTCATCATTTAATATACTAATGTTTACGTAATTTTCACAATTTGAAGTTTTGGTTGTTTGTTCCATTGTTTGCAAAACAAGATGATCCCTAACATGTGACAACGAGTCAATTAGGAAGCAGGTGGAATGGTGCTGCCATGTGGAAGCATTAAGGAGAGGATTTGGGCCACCTAGCATCTTGTAAGGCGTTAAGCAACGTAAAATCTCTGTCCCGGTGTTGTCATGTGGCATTCATGTGTGTATGTGTATGTATGTGTTTTCTTTAAGGGAGAGGAGTTATCAAACATAGTGTCTCTCCTTGGGTGCATCACATGTCATTCTAGTCCAACAAAGTGAATATGTTTATAAATATATTATATTGATAAAAAAAAAATTCAACCCAAACCAGTCAATCAACCTTGTAATTGACTATAATTGTAGTTGCATACACTTAGCTTCACAATGAGTCATATCCATAATACTTCAACCGAAAAAGGTCTAGCACATTTCAGTAAATAAAGTGATTAATTTGAGATGAAATTTACTTGTGACAATTTTCAACATGACTTACTATGTATTCAAGTTCATCCGTTTTTAAATTCGCGATAGTTTCATGTTGACAAGAGTTTGGTGAGTAAATGTGATAATTCGGGTCGACACGAATATGAATACCCTTAATATGAACATGACATAAATAACCTGTAAACTCATAGTGTATCAATTATTATGCTGTTGACATGACACGAATAATATGTCAACCACAAATTGTTACTTATTATGTGGGTTGACACGACACAATAAGACACGAATAACCTATTTATGACACGACACGAATAACCTATAGAAAAATTAATGCGGGGTCAATTTTGGGTTCGCACGTTAACACGTGACACGACACAAATTTTTTCAGGTCATTTTTTACCAATCCAAACACGACACGAATTTGAAAAACGAGTCAACGCGACATGAATTTTGTGTATCGTGTTCGTGTCATGTCAGCGAGTCATGTTGAAAATTACCACCTCTAGGTGAGTTGGACGTTTGGTAGAGGAGATTTTTTGTGTGCCTGAAAATCACGATTACCAGAAATATAATGAGAAAGTGAATTTTCCAAGAATATGACAAAAAAATTATTTGGTAAGCCAAAATATTACTAAGAATGTTGGTTTAAATTTTCTGATTCTATGTTTAGTTGATTGTCAAATATTATTTGAAAATGTGAGATAATTTTACAAAACTAACATCGCATGGATGTTTTTGTCCCAAAAAATATGAAAAACTTTCCCACCTCCCGGGAATCCAAGGTGATATTTTTGGATGGCATTTTGTTTTATAAATTGTTCACAAATTAAAATCCTGAAAAAATCAAAAAAATTCATAAACCTTATATCAAATATAAGTAAATAAGATTCAAAATATCAATTTTTTGAAAATTTAAAATAATAATATAAGTTTCCGAGAATTTAAAATAAACTCTCTACGCCCCTCTATTAAATATGGGGAGGAGTTCCAAAGGTATGCAAGAGAGGGAAACAACTTCAACATCCACCTCTATTCCCTTACTAGTTTATCAACCGTTGGATCCCAATGAACGTCCTACACAAGTTCAGACGTGTACTAATCCCAAATATTTATCTCCTCATTGAAAATCTTTAAATCTTGAAATAGAGAAGCTGCAGAGCTTGTTCATATTCTTTGTATTTCTCTTTCGTTTAGAATCCCAATAATTGTAAATTCACAAAATTACTGTAGAATCTTTGTATTTTATCATAGAATTTCTCTCTATAGAAAGCACACCTCTTGTATGTGGAAAAAAATCATAATAATGCTTTTCAGAGTTTTCTGAGTCATAAATATAAGTCTCCCAAAATCTAATATGGAAGGAATGCCTAATCACTACATAATACATTTCTAAGCTTGATATTTGGTAATTCCAATGCTTCACCCAGTGATAAATTGCATAAAATGAGACCCCAGCAACAAATGTCTTCACAAAAGTGTCTTTTCACGACAAGGGGAGCTGGATTACTGGGTTTACATACAAAATTGGCAGGTGCTCTCCCTTCATAGCAGAATTGTGGGCAATCTATATAGGGTTGTGTGTGGCTTAGGAAAGGGAAGCTAGTCACTTGATAGTCGAAAGTGATTGTTTGTTGGCCATCCAGGCCATCTCCAGTAATTCAGATGAGGGGCCTCTTCCCCAAATTATTCATAGATTCAGATCTTTAAGTAGCAACAATTGGCAAGTTGTTTTTCAGCATATTGGGAGAAATGGGAATGCTGATAGTTTAGCCAAGTTGGCCTTCTCCTCTAGGGAGGATTTTGTTTTACTGGTTGATGCACCAGATGTGCTGGGTCCCAGTGTTGTTAGTATCGTACGATACACGATTCGTATCGTACGATACGATACATTTTTCACCCAAAACGATTTGAATCCCATGATCGAATCGTTTTGTCCCTGAATCGCTTCATGTATCGTACGAATCGTGCGATACAGGGAGCGAATCGTGAATCGCTCGATACATGCGATTCCAAAAAAAAAAGGAAACTTCAACCGTCAGGAAATAGGAAGGCAGAAAGTCAGGAAATTTCAACTGTCAGCGACTCAGCAGAACCAAAACTTAAAAATTATAAAAGTAGAAGAATGAAGATGAGAAGAAAGAAACGCATAGAAACTTCGCTCTGATCTGGCAGCTCGTCTCCTGGAGCTTCATCGTGCAGTCTTCGTTCTTCTTCTATAACGTACGCTTGCTTCCTTTTTCTTATTAGATTCATTCGTACGTTATTTTTGCGTTATCTGTGGTGGAAAGGTTTCGAATCGGATTTTTATTATTATTGTAATAGACATTGTAACACGTATTGTAGATAAAGTAACAAAAACAAAGTATCTAATTGGTAAAGTAGATAGTACTGTTCACGATTTTTGTCGTATTGTAGATAAAGTAACAAAGTATCTAATTGGTAAAGTAGATAGTACTGTTCACGATTTTTATTAGACTTCACTTCGCTGGCTGTTACAAAGTTACTAACACGTATTGTTCACTGTTCTGCTTTTCAGTTTCACTATTATTGTAAATAAAAATAATGAATAGTGAATGCATATTTAATTGATATAAAAATCTGCTTTACGTATTGTTCTCTGTTCTGCTTTAAGAACAGTAAAGTATTGAATAGTCTAGTGATTATTTACTGTTATTGTACTTGTACCTAAATTGTATTATTGTAATTAAATTGGGCAGGCACTAATTTACTTAGTGATGGCTCCAAACAAAAAAGTAACTAAGGAAGTTGATATAGCTTGGAAGCATTGTAGGGCTTTGGAATCGAGATTAAATGTTCAATGTAATTATTATTCTAAAATAATGTGGGGAGGAGCAACTAGAATGAAGAATCATCTTGCTGGAACACACAATCAAGTTGCTGCGTGTACAAAAGTGTCAGATGAGGTCAGAGAGATGTTTATAAAATTGTTGAATGATAATGATCTTGAGTGCTCGAATGATAAAGATTCAAATAAGGGAATAATAGAAAATCTTCTAGGAAAGGGAAGAGGAGGAAGTAGCTCAACTACCATGAAACAACCAACAATAAATTCCATGGTGAAGGATAGAGATTTGGTGATTCAAGATATTTGTAGATGTATATATGGAACTGCTTTGCCATTTAATCTAGTTAAGAGTCCACTATTTATAAAGATGTTGAAATCTGTTGGTGAATATGGTAGAGGTTTAAAACCACCATCTTATCATGAAGTGAAAGTCTCTTTTTTGAAAAAATAAATTGATCTTGTCAATGCTAATTTGGAGAAATATAAATTAGAATGGGAGAGATTTGGTTGTACATTGATGTCAGATGGATGGACTGATGGAAAGGATAGATCTCTTACTAACTTTCTGGTTAATAGTCCTAAAGGGACTGTATTTATAAAGTCTGTTGATACGAGCAATTTAATTAAAGATGCTGAAAAAATGTTTGAATTACTTGATGAAATGGTGATGGAAATTGGGGAAGAAAATGTTGTTCAAGTGGTGACAGACAGTGCATCAGCCCTCGTATCAGCTGGTCAAAAGCTAATGGATAAAAGAAAGAAACTCTTTTGGTCACCTTGTGCAGCTCATTGTCTTGATTTAATGCTAGAAGACATCGGTGGCATTATAGTATTTCATAATACTATTGGAAAAGCAAAGAGAATTACAACTTTCATTTACAGGCACACATGGGTATTGAATTTGTTTAGAAGCTTTTCAAAGAATAGAGAGTTAGCGAGGCCAGCAATAACAAGGTTTGCAACATCTTATTTGACCTTGAAATCTATTTTCGAACAAAAGATTCCACTTCGGTCTATGTTTGCATCTGAAAAATGGGAAAAAAGTCCCTATGCCACTAGGCCGGAAGCCAAAGTTGTAAGAGATATTCTTTTGACTGATTCAAGGTTTTGGAAGTCCATAAAGTATTGCTTGAAATGTGTGACTCCTCTTGTGAATATTCTGAGGCTTGTGGATGGTGATTCAAAGCCGGCAATGGGATACATTTATGAGGCTATGGATCGAGCAAAGGAACAAATTGCAAAGAAATTCAATCGTGTGGAGAGTAGATATAAGGATATATGGGAAATTATTGATAAGCGTTGGGATTTACAACTTCATAGGCCTCTTCATGCAGCAGGATATTATCTTAATCCTAAGTAAGTATTTGTTTATGAAATTATTAATTAGCTCTAATTAAATGTTTTTATATTTTGATTATTATTAAATCTATTTCTAAATTTATATTAATTATACAGATTCCATTATGAATCAAACTTTAACCCAGATACCGAAGTTCAAGTTGGTTGGTACACTACATTGGAGAATATGTGTCCTGATATTATAACAAGGATCAAAATTGATGCCCAACTTGAGAAATTTTCCAAGGCTGAAGGGCTCTTTGGAAATACTTTAGCAATTGCAACAAGAGATAAAAAGCAACCTGGTAATTAAAAATTAATTTGATTTTATATTTCAAATAATTTATCAATTACATTATTTTCATAATTAACCAAATATTTGTAATGATTTTTTTTTTGCTAGCTTTATGGTGGAATAGTTTTGGAGCCGAATACAAAGAACTACAAACCTTAGCTATTCGTATCTTAAGCCTCACTTGCAGTGCTACAGGGTGTGAGAGAAATTGGAGTGTGTTTGATCAAGTTCACTCTAAGAGAAGAAACCGACTAGAGCAACAAAGGTTGAATGATCTTGTATTTGTTAAATACAACCTTCAACTTGAAATGAGACAAAAGGAAAGGGAGAAAAAAGGAGACACATATGATCCTATTTGTTTGTCAGATTTAGAATCCGACGATGAGTGGATTGCAGAACAAGAGGAACCTTGTCTAATGGATGGGGACTCTTGGATGGATATCCAAGACTCCTTCAACATTGAAGAAGGCGACCAAAACAAAAAGAGAAAGAGAGGTACATTAATAAATATTTTTCAATATGTTTATTTACGTATACGTTAACTAACTATTATCTTATATAAAAAAACTTAGGTCCTCGAAATCTTCAAGCCGACAGGAATGATAAAAGCAAAGGCATCGTCATACATGAGAATGCTAGTAGGATTGACTCGCAAAAGGATACAAGCACAATCAATAATAAGGATAAAGGAAAAGACATGTCGATTGTTGAGCAAGATATGGGAGATGACTCTGATGAAGATGTTAATGAAGAAAATGAAGCAGTAGTTATGTTAGATGCTGATAGTGATAGTGATAGTGATAATATTAGTCCTATTGATGATTAATTAGTAGGGTTAAGACTTGGAAAAATAAGTTGAGTAACTTGTTTTCAGTTTTGTTATTTTTATATTTTAGATTTCTTTTCTTTTTTAATACATTATATTTTAGATTTCTATATTATATGTTTTGGATTTCTATAATATTATATATTTTATGTTATTTTTCTTATATTCCTGTATCCTACGATTCGATTCGATTCACGATTCAAAAAATCACCAAAACGATTCACGATTCGTATCCCGATTTAACAACCATGCTGGGTCCCCTTCTGGACTCAGATATCCCTATCGTGTAATTGTTTTCTTTCTGGGCATTTGCCCCTTTGAATTACTAAAAAAAAAAAGGTGTCTTTTCATGTCATTTGAAACCAGGTGAGATACTGAACCTATAAGAAAAGACCAAACAAAACAAAAGCAATCACCAAAGCAAAACTCCAATCTATTTTTGCCCAAACAAATATTGATAGAAAGAGAGGTTATATGATCTAGACAAATATATAAAACATTAATCCAATTCCAACCAAACAATAGCACTTATCATAATTTCAATCCATTGGCAGCAGCAAACAGATTGATCAAGATAGGTAGGTGTCATATAAATCTACACATACAGTTCCCAATATCAATACCACCAAAGACAAAAGATTAACATAATACGATGAATATTGCTACAGATAACTTATTCAACAGCCTAACCTAAGTTCTATCATCCAAACAGTCTAGCATTACTCAAAAAGCAAAGAATTATAATTTCTGAACCAAAAAAAATAAAAATGCCAGATCCAACATATCTAATGTAAATATAGCTTTTTCCAATTATCATAAAACGGGTATTTTCATTTCCATTGGACCAATACTATTTTAAAAAGCAACAATCCTTTACTTCTACTGATATGAAATCGGTCTGCCAGTATACCCATGCATAATAACGAGAGAAAGGAACTGGGAATCACTTAAAATGTTTGCACAAGAGAAAGTCTTATTAGAGCTCACATTAGCAGTTTCCAGCAGGTAAAAGATAGTCTTATTAACAGCTCCATGTTTCAAGATTCAAGCAGAATGTGTTCATTGAAGGATTATTGCTCAGTAGCTTCTAATCTTACATATGTTCAAGTGACCCAAAATTAGTCATTCTAATGAACTAATACAAGTCTAACCAAATGCAGGACAAAAGTCACATCACCCAATCACTTGAAACCAACCCCAAACCTAAATACAACATATGGCATCGCAGAAATTTTAGCAAACCTCATTTCCACGGATTCATTATAAAAATGAAAATGATAGAAAGAAAAAAAGAGAGGAACTAATTATTCAGCAGATTTTATTAGCACACAACAAGGTAGTAGCTCAACAGAATCACATTAACTGCCATTACGGGAACAATATACATTCCACTGATTCAATCCCATTCCCATTAAAGACCCTTCTCTGACACTTCATACACAGCATCACATTCATTATCTAATACGAAGCATAACCCAAAAAAAAAAAAACATACCCAGGTTCCAAATTACTTGATAACCCGCTAAAACGACAACTTGGAGAGAAACAAAACGAAGAAAAACAGAGAGTGAAATCCATGAATCATCAAGGGTCCATAAAGTGATGACGATCATTCATCACTTCTTGAGGCTACCGCGAACGCCGGGGCGAGGCTTCGACGATGATTCGGGAACGGCGGTGGGGGTGGTGGTGGTGGTGGTGGTGGTGGTGGCGTGGCGGTTCACGAGCTTCTCCTCCTCATAAGGGATCTTTGGGTGACGAGCATCGTGGTGAATCTGCATCGATTTCAGGTCCGGTGCCGTCGTTTTGCAGTGGGGGCACTCGTACTTCGCATGCCCACCCTTCTCCACGCCGGACCGATCGGCCAGGCCGGCTTTTCCGCCGCCTCTGTTGGTGGTGGCGGCGTCCACCTTCGCCGCGATCTCCTTCGCGGTGTGCTTCTTGGGCTTCGCTTTCCCCGTCATTTTTTTTGCGAATCGATGCTTCTTCTTATTATTTTCCCCTCTTTGCAACGATTATCGTTAAATTGATGATGGGATCAGAGAGAAATTGGAAAAAAAAAGTTTTGATTTCGAATTGAATTGGGGAAAAGGGAAGGAAAACCCTAGGGTTGAGAAAACCCTAATCGCTTCGACGAAAGGATTGGGCTTGCGTATTTGGGGTACCATCAAATTTGTTTATTAATAGGCATAGAGATAGAGACTTATCTGTAACCCAATTGTTTCAGTACTTTAATCATGTCTGAACCTGGGACAAATGTTACCTTTTCATTGGTCACTAGTTGTGCTTTTTCTTTCAACCAATGATGTTTGGACATGTCATTCCAATCGACTTGGACTTAACGCAGTGTATTAGATTCCAACATTCTTTTATTACCTCAATTTTTATTTATTGGGTGCATTAGTTAAGACATCTCTAAAACAAAAAAATTTAAGCGAAGTTCATTGATTAAGAAGTTTACTAAGCTAATTAACTAATAACGTGGCGCACTCTCTAAGACGATACGTGGAATAGATTTACGTGATATCATGTCATGTGTTGTGAGAAGATTTTAATTATTGAAATACAAATCAACGATGGTTATTTAATATTTCTCAATGGTTAACAACATTTCATTAGATTTTATGTCAGATGAGAATATTTGCTACCCACAATGTTGTTCTATCTTAATGATAGAGATGATAGTCACATACTATGTATTGATTTTGGATTTAGGACTCTATCATATATTTATGAAAAAAATATCTCTAAGATAAATGCACAAAAAATACCAGCATTGTCAAATGGATAAGGTGTTTGTACAATAACAACAAGTAATGAGAGAATAAATATCATATAGATTTTACTTTTTATTTGTAGAATTTACCTATACATACTGGAATTTTGGACTTTTAGTGACTTTATGGGGCCCAACATTTTATTCATTGTTGTCCCACTATGATTAGCATTAATCAATGATTCTTTTTTTTATTTTTCTTAATTTTCTCTTTATTGTTGCCATTCTTGAACTTTTTAGAATATGAGCTTTTTTTTTTCTTTTTTTTTTTGTAAATAAATATGAGCTTTAAGATGGGCATAACAAATATATTTTTGGATTATCTCCCATCACCTCACACTTAGATCACCCTCAAAATATAAGAATATATCTCACCATCCCAATTAAACTGTGTACCAGTGTTGTTAAAATTGAGATCTTAAGTAAATCGGAAGGGAATTAAAAAATCGTAAAACATAAAATCGTTATGTAAAAAAATCGTAAAAAATCGTAAAAACGTAAAAGCGTTTGGAATATTAGTAAAATCGTTTTGATTAAAAAAATCGTAAAATCGTAGTGATAAATCAAGATTTTAACAACAATGTTGTGTACTTCTTATAAACATGGATCCATTTGTTTTTTTTATAAATGGGTTTTATTAATCTCATATTAAAGGAGATAAGTTATCTCATCTCATAGAGACAAACTTGTGGGCTCCACCACCTGAAAAAATAAAAAGAAATGAAAAGAAAAATGTGACATAGTTATCGAATAGTGTATGGGAAAAATGTTTCTGCAGTTAATGCAGATAAGTTATCTGCAGTTATTCCCAAAACAACGTCATTTTGGTATTGAAATCTTAAAAAATTATAAATATAAAGACTATTATAACCCTGAAATAAATTAAAATTACAAAAATATCATGATTTCCGTCCCAAAACGACGTCGTATTGACTTACTGCAGATAATTTATCTGCAGTAACTGCAGAAAAAGCGAACTCATAGTGTATATGAGAAAAAACTTATCTCATATAGCATGATAATAGTTTTTCCCTTTATAAATATATAGTTTAAACTCTCACATATACATCTCTCTCAGTCATATATTGCAATTTTAATTATATACATGGACTATATTGAAGTCTATGCAGGTAAACCAATCAATCATCTTCTCTAGCCTCTATATAATAAAGATTCACTACCGGAACAATAACATAGCCATGAATTTTTTTTAAGGGAATAAATTATAATGTGAAATTTTTATTTGAAATTATTAATACTTATATGATAAAAAAATATAAATGATATTCATAACTAAAAAATTTATGTAGATTTTGAAGGGGACAAATATTAAATATCTTTCGACTACGGGTGGTAAACGAACAGTAGCTTTTGACCCAGGTCGTGAAGACTGGATTTACATATTTAAAATTGTGAAAGGGCTTTGTCAAAAGACTGCTCATTCAGAGTCTGAGTTATTGTCCTTAGTAAATCAAGTGTATCTTCACCTTTTTCCTTTTTATCCACTTGATTAGTCTGCCCATCAGATTTGTCTTTTGTCTCTGAGCTTGGTTTTCCCTTCTCTTTGTTTTTGTTAGTTGCTTTATACGAACCATCCAGAATAGTATTTGGAGACTTGTTTTTATTTCCAGTTTTCCGCTGCACAAGCATGGTAGCAGCCTTCCCTCTTCCTTTTTCTTCCTTGGCTGGATTTTTCCTGATTTTGCTTATGCCAGCTTTGTCTTTTTCTAAGCACTCAAACCACTAGTAGCTCATTCTTCAACAATAGGGGTTTGAGTCTTATCAACCTTCTTAGCTTGAGGGTATTCATAGGCGTTGACTTAGGATTAGCAATGAGGATATGCTCTATCTCCATCTAAGACACAATATTTTTGATGCCAGGCTTTTCAGTCACTTCTTCGATATTTGTGCCCATCTTCTCCACTTGGATTTCACCTCTGTTTCCTCCGTTCATGATCTTTGCTGGAGTTGCCTTCAGCTTTAGTCCTCTCGGTTGCCTCTGGACAACCATCCAGTTCCCAAATCCCTCTTCCTGTTTTTTTCTCTATTTTAGCTTGCTCACAAATGTTGTTGCTTGCATCCATTTAGGATTTTCCTTCCACCTCATTCTAGATACTCTGGGTTTGTCCTTCTGCACATTGGTCTTTTCCTATGGCCATATAGACTACACATGAAGCATATTAGGTGGAGATCTTCGTACCCCACATGAAAAACCTTTTCACCTATCTTGAATTTTGATAGGAAGATCTTTCTGAGATCGCAGGAAGTTCCTATAAACCTTGAGAGTTCTTCAAAAAATGAACCTAATTATCCAAAGGTGGTGTGTCGTGTAGAACTCTATAGGCTGACCAGGAACCTTAATCCACACAGCTAGCTTCTTGAATTCTTCATCGTATGGGTCAAAGAATGGTCTCCATCTTTGGACCACCACATAGTGTTCAGCTACAATCCATGGCCCTTCTTCCAGAACATCCCGGTAGTCACTATCATCTTGGAATATTATAAGGAAGCACCCATTGTCTAGGTCGATGAGTTCAAAAGTACCAACCAGATTCCACCTTCTCTACAATCGTGCCACTAGGAATCTTGTGCCAATACGCTTTCCTAGCATTTTGATAATCAGGGTTTTATGCTATTGCCTGCAATCCTCTTTATGTTGACTTTTGGAGAACTAGTATGACGGGAAAAAGGGGTCTTCCAAGGGGTCCTGAGGTATATCCTCAAGCACCTCCTCCTCTTCCTCTGCCTGGTCAACCAGTCTTCCTCCTCACTGTCGAAGTTACTATCTTCCTCGTTTAATCGCAAAAGCTTATCTTTATAAGACACCACTTTCCTATGAGCACCACTAGCAGGCTCTATTGTTTTCTCTTCTGGTTGCAGGGGTAATTTTAGGGCTGGGTCCTCCTCCATCTCACCTTTCTCATGCATCTCGTCATCCATGTTAGAATATTCCACAACATCTCATTTGGGTTTCTTAATATTTTGCTGCGTTAAGTCTTCTTCTGCTGGAATTCTCTCCCTCACTCCTTTCGGTCTGTCTTCCTATGTTTCCATCTTATAAAATTATGCTTTTTAACAGCATTTTTCTCAAACAAAATATGCAGTTATTTCCTGTACATGTTTTTCTCTAATTTTTATAAACTCCTTTATATATGTATGTTATGATGTTGTACTTCCGGCATGGTAACCTGTAATTGCAGGTAAACTTGGGCGTAAAATGCATTTGGAAAAGCTTAGAGAATAAGATCTTGTACTTAGAAAATGCTTCAAAAGCTGGGAATAAATATTTTCATGCTAAATTTGCATCTGTTAAGTTTATGTGTGAAAATTTTGTGTACAGGACCTCCTACCTAATTAATATTTATAAAACGAGAAATAAATAAAAAATTCTCACATGATAAAATTACATAATCAAGGTTTCTGTAAATCCATTTGGATTTATGCAAGGAAGATGTACCATGGAAGCCATTTTCTTGATGCGACAATTAATGGAAAGATATCGAGAAAAGAAGAAGGACTTACATATGATGTTCTTAGATCTTGAGAAAACATACGATAGGGTTCCAAGGAAAGTTTTATAGTGGGTTCTGGAGAAGAAAAAGGTACCATCAAAGTATGCAAAGGCAATCAAGGGTATGTATGATGGGGCTACTACCTGTGTGAAAGCTTGTAACAGAACATCAAGTTATTTTCCTATCACAGTAAGTGTACACCAAGGGTCGGCTCTAAGTCCTTATCTCTTTGTCTTAGTTATGGATGAACTAACAAAAGATATTCAAGAGGAAGTGCCATGGTGTATGCTTTTTGCAGACGATATTGTGCTTATCGATGAGAGCAAAGACAGTGTTAATAGAAAACTTGAATTGTGGAGAAGCACGTTGAAATCTAAATGATTCACTTTAAGTCAGAGCAAGACTGAGTATCTGAAGAGTGATTTTTCTTTGGTAAGAGAGGTAGACCAAGATCCCGTGCATCTAAGTGGTCAAGAGGTACCCAAGAAAGATGCTTTTAAATACTTGGGCTCCATTTTGCAAAAAGGTGGAGAGAATGATGAGGATGTAAATCATAGAATCATAGCAGGGTGGATGAAATGGCGTAATGCATCTGGATTTTTGTGTGACCGCAAAATCCCCCTTAAGTTAAAAGGAAAATTCTCTAGAAAAGCAGTAAGACCTACAATGCTATATGGAGCTGAATGTTGGCAACACATAGGCAACATGAGCATAAAATGGGAGTAGCAAAGATGAAGATGTTAAGGTGGATGTGTGGTTATACGAGGATGGATAAGATAAGAAATGAAGATATTCGACGAAAGATAGGAGTACTACCGGTGGCTGAGAAGATGAGAGAACATAGATTGAGGTGGTTTGGGCACGTAATGAGAAGGCCTCTGGATGCTC